ACTTGGTGCACAAAATGTAGAGAGAAGTAAATGGGGGGAGGTGGGTTGGTAAGGTTACACATCATTCAGTCTATGTATGAGCCTTTCTAAACACAACAGTTGTACTGCTTTGGCACAAATGCCCTCCAGGGTGGATGCACCTATATCGGTATAAAGGTACCAGGTACTGGGATAGCAATGCCCGTACAGGAAGAGGAATACTTGTTCTGCTGGGGCAAGGCATCTTTATCTTGGTTTAACTGTCCTTTCTAGGGGCTGCACCAGTGGAATGACACTATACTCCTGCTTATATGAAGAGCATGACAGACATGGATTTGATTTGGATAATCAGGAATTTGGCTAGTTCACAGGACAGGAAGGCTCGTTCAACAGCAGGAAGCCCCCTCCAGCATCTGGTGGCCAATCTTCCTCCTTTCCCTCTCAGTCCTGGCCTGGGGGCTGTCTGTACTACACACTGCAATGTAAGTGCAGTATTTATATTCCAGTTGATGTATGTTAGAACTAGATGGTACAAATGAGAAAGGAAGCACTTTTGTAGTCATAGCGTACCGTGACACTTTTTGCATCTTTGTGTCTGAGGGTATGTCTACACTAGCCACCCTAGTTTGAACAAGGGTGACTAATATAGGCTTTAGAACTTGCAAATGAAGCCCGGGATTTAAATATCCCGGGCTTCATTTGCATGTCCCTGGGTGGGCGCCATTTTTAAATGCCCGTAGTTCAAACTACCTGCCCGTGGCTACACGCGGCACGGACTAGGTTGTTCGAATTAAAGCTCCTAATTCGAACTACCGTTAAACCTCCTTGTGTCGCCGCGGGCATGTAGTCCGAACTGTGGGCATTTAAAAATGGCGCCTGCTCGGGAACATGCAAATGAAGCCTGGGATATTTAAATCCCGGGCTTCATTTGCAAGTTCGAATGCCTACATTAGCCGCCCTAGTTCGAACTAGGGTGGCAATGTAGACATATCCGGATTGTGTAAGGAAGTTATTTTTAAAGGAAGTGAAACTGAGGGTACGTGAGACAAATCAGATACCTGAACAGGGCACAGTAGTCTGGAAAGGCAGGAAGCCACTGATATTTGTCATGCTGGGGAACAAGGCAGAAACTGAGATAATGCAGAGGTTTGGATAATAGAGTTTCAAATAAACAGCAGTATTCTGCATATTGGTAAAAAAGAAACCCCCACACCCCTAGCTGACTTAGGTAGGTCAGTACAAAAATCCTCAAGGAAGCCAGCCTTTAGTGTGAGGGTAACTTATCTTGTAGGATGGTGGCAGCTAACGCTACTCACAGGACAATGTTCCCTCTAATTTTTTCCATCCGTGTGTGGAATAAATGTGATGTGCACTGAAGCAAGTGTGGATATGCACCACAATAGAAACACATGTTGCTGGCTATAAATACTGTGGGGACTCTGCTCATCATCTGGGCAGCACCTGAATCTCCACCCAAGCACACAGCTTACAGGGAACATTGTCATAGGAGATGTTAAAAGGTGCCTGATAAAGAAAGGGAGGCCAACAATGGCCCACTTGCCACTTCAATCAAGCTGCCAAGTCAACGTGACAGCCATTCTTTAATTTGAATAAAAACCTCACTTATTCCTGGGATCATCCTGGCTTTGGCTCAGCCCTGATTTGATGGTGACAACACTGACCATGAGGGGAAGACATCTAGGGCAGTGGTCCCCAACGCAGTGCCCATGGGCGCCATGGCGCCCGCTGGGCCATTTCTGTGTGCCCGCCGAGTGAACGGGGCCGGCCCCGCCCCCAGGCGCACGGCGTATGGGCAGCGTCGGCCCCGGGCGTGCAGCACATGGGCGGCCCTGCCTCCGGATTTGATGGTGACAACACTGACCATGAGGGGAAGACATCTAGGGCAGTGGTCCCCAACGCAGTGCCCATGGGCGCCATGGCGCCCGCTGGGCCATTTCTGTGTGCCCGCCGAGTGAACGGGGCCGGCCCCGCCCCCAGGCGCACGGCGTATGGGCAGCGTCGGCCCCGGGCGTGCAGCACATGGGCGGCCCTGCCTCCGGGTGCACAGCGTTTGGGTGGCCCTGCCCCCGGGCATGCGGCG